TTGTGGATTCTGTTGCGTTATAAATTTATTTATTATTATTATTATTATTACTAATAGTATGTGACGAAGATTAGAAGTATCTACAGAGAGCAACATTCAAGGAAAAGAAGGAGGAGAGATATAGACGATAGATATTAAATTTGTCGGGGAAGAAGGAGCAAAGCAAACCAGGGTAATTGCAACCAATTGCATCAATTTTTACAAGATTTTTTTTCTCTTAAAGCATGGTTTCGAAAAGCAGTTAAAGCAAAAAACAGCAACGGCAGTTTAAAAAACCCGAAAGAAAAAGCCTACCCCCTCCCCCACCAACAGAAACAAAACATAAACAAGAATAACAATAATAATAATTATGGACAACTAAAAAAATTAATGATATATTATCTCTCCACCCCACCCCCACCCCTCCTCCGTTCACCTACCTGTTAACATAGACATGGTGGTGGTCTTCCCCGCCCCGTTGTGCCCCAGAAGAACTGTGATCTGACCTTTATACATGTTCAAGGTCAAGTTGGCCACTGACACCTTGTCTGCGAATTCCTACGCGGGCAGGAGATTAAAGCTGACGCTAAAGTAATGGCGATAATCATGTGTCTTGGCGTCGGTGGTCTAGTGGTTATACGGGGTGCCCACTACGGATGGATCGACCGATTGGGCCGATCGCACAACTCGGTTGCCTAAAAAAACAAACGTATTTGTTTTCAGTTTCAGGCGACCGAGTCGGGCGATCGGCCTGATCCAGCCGTAGTGGGCACCCGGAATTAGGCTATCAAACTCGCAATTGTGAGGTTATGAGTGTTCATGGTTTCGAGATTCGGCTCGATCCGACGTTGTGTTCATGAAAAAGGCACTTCATGCGATTTTTTCCCTCATTTTGCTGGGAACGATTGGAAATACATATTAAATTCCGTGGCCATGCCTCGTAATTCATCTTACAGTATTGCAAGGAGAGTCAAACTGATAGAATCATCTATCCTTTCAGATTGGAGGTTGGGTTTACAGTAAATAGGCTAAGGCCAGACACATTGGCATCGTTTTGGGCTTCAGTACGCTTGGTTCGGGGATCTCCAACAGAACGTTCTTGAAAAAGTAGAATTTGTTATCATCCCATAATTATTAGCACATAACGAATTTGGTCAGCCCAACCC